CCCAGCAGTGCCACCAACACAAACTAAAAATTAGATCTCTCTCTTTTGCCCTCCTCATGGAAAATTGGTTTACCATGCCATTGATTTCAGACAAGGGTATTTGTGGGTATTGTGATGGCCACATAAGAGCGCAAGGAGTCGTCGTCTCCGCCTCCATCTCCATTCTCCAACCGGACTAGCCGCACCATCTCTCCTCCCGCTCTAAAGCCTAGCCCCCCTCTGCCACCCCGGTCTGAACCCTAGCTAGGCTCATCGGCACAGCAGCTTGACTCCCTCTCCACTCTCTAGCCGCACTGTCCCTCATACCTTTCCGAACCCTAGCCGAAGACGGAGCCGGATCTAGATCCGATCCCCTTCGTCGATAGCAGGACCGCTGATGGTGGAAGGACCGTCGTTAGTGGCGGTATACGCCGGATCCGGACCCCTATGTCGGCACCTGTCATGGCCGAGCCCCAGCGTCATCGTTGATGACCGCCACACCAGATCTGCTATCCCTTCATCGACGCCGGCCGTACCACTTTCGCGACCAGGATGACAAGAGGGCGGTGCCGACGACGCATCATAGCCAGGAATAGGAAGAGGTACCCAAATTCCTTTTAGGCCTTGTTTGGATGCATGTGTATCCACTTTAATCCACAAGTGTTGGAGTGGATTGGAATGTAACTTAGTTTAATTCCACTCCAATGCACTTCAATACATGTGGAACAAGACGAATACATGCGCATCCAAACAAGGCCTTATGATGCGTGATGTATTCTAGTGGTTGGACCTAGGACATGTAGTTATATAGTGGCGGGGTCACATGTTTCTTAGTTGATTGTAGTTCACATGTGCTTTATTCAAGTAATAGTTTTTGTATAAGTTGTAGTTCACATATGCTTTATTCAAGTAATGGCTTCCGTATAAGCTGTAGTTTAGGCGCCAAATTTGCATGCTCCTGCTCTGTTTTGTTGACATTTGGTACAAGGTTAACTCAATAAATGCCATTGTAATCTACATGTTGACATCCGGAATATCTCCTAGAAGCACGGGAGCATGTTCAGGGATATGGTGATACAGATACAGATTTAGAAGAGCCAGTACCCCTTGCAATTGAGGTGCTTGTTCTATCTTGTCATGTTGGGATGGGAGGGGGGTTGGTTTAGGTAGCAGTGCAATTCAATTCTTTGCTATGTGGATAGCAATACAATTTTTACATCCTTGCCGCTTAAGTTTGTCTCTCCAATTTTAGGCTGTGGGTTGAACAAGCCATAGAGAAGTCCTTGCCAGCAGGACAAAAGGCAACACCGATATGGATCCTAGGGGATGGCAATCCAAGAGAGTGAAGCCAACTAGTCCAGCAGAGTTGCAACATCTTGTACTTCCAACTAGGTCCAAAAGTTAGCACGCACAAGGCGAACAAAGCCCTGTGAGGGACTGGTCACGTGAAGATGACCCTAGCCATGCCGAAGAGGAGACTCCACCTCCCCACCAGCAAAATGACCAAACTTGCGAAGGTTGATACTACCTTAGACATGTCTATAAATTAAGTCACACTATTTGATATCCATGTTACTTTTCTAACAATATAAATGTGTGAAAACTGTGTAGTACCATTACAGAGAAGAGCGAGGAAGTCAAGGCAAGCAACTAAGGGGGTTGGGCTTCACAAAACCACCCAAACAATGGGAACAAGGATGCTCATCTCGGTTGTCAAGGGGAACAGAAGGTCACATGATCCATTGCAAGCTACCAAGTTTGTCTCAGAGGCAGGTGTAGTAGTCAGGTCTCAAGTACCAATTTTCCCACACTAGAAACATTACAAGCAACAGATCGAACATCTCAATGGATTTGTGGCCAAGCTATCTTTAAGTATGTATATCCTCTATTGACATTTAACTCTGCCTTGAGCAACTTAGTAATGGATTTAATTTGCATTCACACTTCTATAGTTGAGGCTGGCCATTGATGACAATGATGAAGCAACAAAAGAAGCTTGCACGAGTATATTCCAGTCTGTTGTACAGTAGACACGATATTGGTTCAAGCGATCTTACTTCAATGGTGTCCCCGCTGATGAAATCAGAAAGACCGATCATGTGTCTTGCATGAATGACACACAGTGGTGTGCACTTATCCACATGTGGTTAAGCTCCAAGAACAAAGGTGTGTGTGTGTGAACTCTTTATTTGTTGTCTAGTTTTTATGTGGTCTACTTGTGCTGCAGTCTAACACAATTGTGGTTATAGGCAGTCTCGTAGCAGAACAAACGAAACCATGCAAAAGTGAAGTGCCACCAGGTTACAAGATCTTGCTCCTATATTGCCCACCTGCAAGCATATGTAAGTGATGGTTGTGTTACTCTTTATATCAAATACACAATGCCTTGGCATCAAAAAACACACGCAATGCCTTTTGTATCAACAGAAAGGCATATCAATTTTAATAGAAGGACAAAAACAGGAAGGACGCTGGACATGATCAAGAAGTGCTCGTTGAATAACATGATCGACCTCATGAAGATGTTGATGCAGTGGGAATGTTCAACAACTTCCATACCAATAGCAACATGGGACCGAGCGATCCTGCAAGAGAAGCAGTGGTAAGTATCTTCATTTGCTTTCCTTGAAATCTGCTGAAGCCATTGACATAAAAGAAGGAAAAGTAGGAGAAGCCTAAAGTGGCACCATCATTTTAAAGTTGTAATATTATAACAGTTAATATGCTACTTATGCATTGTGCTTATGAATCTCTATCGGCAGTAGGCTGAGGAAGACCTATGCATTACTTGTAATGAAATAATCTTTTGGTTCTGCAATTTAAGTCCTCTTCCTAATGTTTACTCTTTGGTTCTCGCATAAAGTTATAGAAACTATACGAGTAGAACTTGTTGATGATGTTGTTTCCAAGGTCCTCTCCCAGGCCAAGTGCAACACCTTTTCTTTGAATGCTGGTATCAGGACAAGCTACCCCAGACTTTGAGAACGGCTTGCTGCTCATCAGGAAAGTTCAGCTGTCCTCGCCGAACAAGTGGATCAACTGAAAAGGAAGACAGAAAACACTGATAGGGAGTTTGAGTTCAAGAAACAGCAACAGGAGTCCAATAAGCTCCGTGAGTATATCATGCTCTTAAGCGCTGGTAACTCTCAGTCTTGTTGATGCAGTAAACATGTTGTTTGTTTGTTGTTTTGATGTGAAATTTTGGTAGCTTGATGTCAACTCTGTTAGTGGTTTGCTGCTGAGCCGAACTGCTGTTATTTGATTCAGGTTCAATATAATTATGCATGTAGTCATTTAGTGCAGCAGTATAGATCTAAAATCATTTTCTCTGATGTAATGATTGGTGTGCACGTGGTAGATCTGGCCCAGGCACGTTGTTAAATAAGAATCTGACACGTGGATGAACCAGTGAATAATACGTAACAGCCACGACAAGGCACGTAGGCCAATACAAACAAAATACGTGGTACAAATCCGTCCTACCATGTGGTCGAATCAGAAAAAGACACGTGGGTAACTTAGGGCGCGACACGTGGCCTAATAAAATACCGACACTCGGACGTACAACATAGAGACATGTGGTCAAGTAAAAGAAAGATACATGGGGTATTATGGTCACGCCACGTGGATCAATAAAATTACGACACATGGTTCAATGAAGAAGTGACACATGACCCAACCGCAACACAACACGTGTGCCAATAGAAAACTGACATATGGAACAACAGGGTCCCGACATGTGGTCCAGTAAAAACCTGATACGTGCAAGAACCTAGAGATGGCCACATTGTGCAATAAGAGGGTGATAGTACCCGAACCATCTCCAATGCAACCGGCTATAAGCATGTACATGTAGAAAGCATCTCCAACGGAAGCACCCGTCAATGTGGCTGCCCCTGCCACGCATGCCAAAGCAGTTCTATGACGATAAGTTTTCGTTATAGATCTATCCACTTCTATGATGATTTTCTAGAATCGTCATAAAATTGTAAGAATGACGCGACTTCTATGACGAACCGTTTTTCGTTATAAATTTGTCATAAAACTAAAATTATGATAAATTTGGCTTCTTCAATGACGAAAGTTATTCATCATAGAAGCAGATATTCATAGTAGTGCACACTACGAATCGTGTAAAAAACCATCCGACTCCACTACAGGTGTGGATCGCCTCAGCGCGCTGCCAGATGACATCCTCGCCAAGATCCTCTTTTCTGTCAGCACCACTGACTCCGTCCGGAACTGCGCTCCGTGTGGAAGCTCCCCCTGATCTGCACTTCCCCTTCTTCCATGAGCCGGCCGACGAGTTCAGCGACGCCCTCGACAACCATCGGGTGCCTCTCCACCACCTCAAAGTCGAGGGCCACGGCCACGGCCACGGCTACCCAACTACCTCGCGACCTAGCTCCCCGCTGCTACGCACGTGTCTCCAGCCCCAACTCCAAGTCGCCTTACCAATCGCAGCCCCCGCCGATTCCCCTCCGCAGGCGACTCCCGTGGTGGGGGTGCTCTCGCTGCCACCGGAGCCACAGACCGCTAGTGAAATCGACAAAGCACGCTGGCCTACACGGCTCAGGCTGAAGGAAAGATAGTGGTTATTTGAGCATTTAGCTAACAATTAGCTATTCTATTATCTATACATGTTTAGATTCAAAAAAAAGATAATAGTTAGCATATAGAACTACTATTTACGGGAGCTTAGAATACCAGTCTGTATCAAACACGTAATTATTCAGACTGTAGTGACTTGTAACTGATGTGGCTCCAGCAACATACCAAAGCCAGCCCCTACCCAGCAGATCCAGGCCATGGGTCCAATCTGTCGCGGAGTCGCGCCGAATTCAAACCCAGGAGGCGAAAACAAAAACAATGACGAAATCTATCGCGCCGGATGTGTCGAGTCATCGGAGTCACGACCTCACTCCTCCGGTCCTCCCCATAACGCGATCCTTTTTATCGGGGCGGTCGGGCGGGGCGTCTTGGCACAGCTCCTCGCGCGGCGCGGGTCGGGGGTCGAATCGATGGACCACAAGCCAGGCGCGGCCGTCCATGAGCCGTTGCTCCCGTCGCCACCGCAGCCGCAGGGCAAGGCGGCGTCGGCGGAGGCGAAGCGGCTGATGCGTCTGGCGGGGCCGATCGTCGCCAGCTGCGTGCTGCAGAACGTCGTCAACATGGCGTCCGTCATGTTCGTTGGCCACCTCGGCGAGCTCCCCCTCGCCGGCGCTTCCCTAGCCACCTCCCTCGCCAATGTCACGGGCTACAGCCTTCTCGTACGCCCTCCGATCGATCCCATATATATATTTCCCTCCTCTCCCCTGTCCCCATCTACTAGTGCATCGTCCTGATCGACATGGCGGCGACCGCAGACCGGCATGGCGACCGCGCTGGACACGCTGTGCGGCCAGGCGTTTGGCGCGCGGCAGCTCCACCTCCTCGGCGTCTACAAGCAGCGCGCGATGGTAGTGCTCGGGCTCGCCTGCGTCCCCATCGCGCTCGTCTGGGCGTACGCCGGCCGGATCCTGCTCTTCCTCGGCCAGGACCCGCAGATCGCCGCGGAGGCCGGCGCGTACGCGCGATGGCTCATCCCGTCGCTCGCCGCCTACGTGCCGCTGCAGTGCCACGTCCGCTTCCTGCAGACGCAGAGCGTCGTCCTGCCCGTCACGGCGAGCTCCGGCGCCACGGCGCTCTGCCACCTGATCGTCTGCTGGGCGCTGGTGTACAAGGCCGGCATGGGCAGCAAGGGCGCCGCGCTCAGCAACGCCGTCTCCTACGCCATCAACCTCATCATACTGGCACTGTATGTCAGGCTGTCGGCCGCGTGCAAGGAGACATGGCATGGCTTCTCATGGGAGGCGTTTAAGGACCTGTGGAGGTTCACCGAGCTTGCCTGGCCGTCTGCCATGATGATCTGGTGTGAAAAACTTGTACTTTAATTAAGTTTAATACTTTACTGATTCCAGTTATACCATTTCACAGACAGAAATATGATATTCTTCCTTGCTGCAGCTTGGAGTGGTGGTCGTTTGAAGTTCTTGTGCTGCTATCCGGTCTTCTGCCAAATCCTCAGCTGGAAACTTCAGTCCTGTCAATTTGGTATGCACAGTGCTCTAATCATGTGTGTAGCTTCGCAAAGGACAAGCTCTGCAGTTTGCACTTCATATACTGCACACCTTTTGTTACTTGCTGTTTCTATTCTCTAATTATTTTTTTAATTGACCTATTTTACAGCCTAAACACTGGCGCTCTGCTCTACATGATACCATTGGGGCTTACTTATTCCATAAGGTGCCCTTCCTCACATAGCACTTCGCAATATGTTTTTTCTTTGTTTTGTCCTCGTGCATTGCTGTCGACATAATTGACAGATTGTAATGCTTCTTTTCCACAGTACACGTGTTTCCAACGAGCTTGGTGCCGGGCATCCTCAGGCCGCGAAAATGGCAACAAAGGTAGTCGTGTACATGGCTTTATCTGAAGGACTCGTTATATCCTTGACCATGACCCTGCTACGCAATATTTGGGGATATATGTACAGCAATGAGAAGGAAATTGTGACATACATCTCTAAAATGTTGCCCATCCTCGGGATATCTTTCTTCATAGATGGCCTTCATAGCTCTCTTTCAGGTCGATTTCACTGATCAACTCATTGTGAATCTAAATTCTGCACAAGCACAATGTGTAATTCTGAACTTGTGTTCTGAAACTGGAACACAAGTTCCAGAACTTGTGTTCTGAGTGCTAATATGAATTACTGCTCTGGATTTGCCAGGGGTGCTCACAGGCTGCGGAAAGCAAAAGATTGGCGCAGCCGTTAATCTCGGTGCGTTCTACTTGTTAGGCATCCCAATGGCTGTACTGCTTGCATTCATCTTCCATCTGAATGGAATGGTACTACAATAACACCTCTGCTAACTTGCACATAACTTCAGTGAAAACCTCCACGTGACATCTCTGAACTCTGAAACTACTGCTGTTCTCTCACTAGGGCCTCTGGCTTGGCATCGTCTGCGGTAGCGTCACCAAGCTGGTTTTTCTTTTGTTTGTAACGTGTTCCATAGACTGGGACAAGGAGGTAAGTAGAAGGCCAAACGCTACCAGGATGATTGTTCAGTTTTTTTTCAGTTTATTCGAGAAGAGTATGGGCTAGTCAATGTGATATGTATATCCTTTTTGGTCCTTTCATATTTCAGGTAATCAAGGCGAAGTACGGAGTGTTAAGCTCATCTCTCCCATTAGCATGAAAAATGTTAGTGTTACATGGAAATTTGAAAGCAGCTGACCAGAACTCAGCAAAGAAAGTGTGGATCGGATCTGTCCGGAAAACTTTCTGTAGTTGGGAAAACTGACCGACATCTCAAAGTCACAAAACTATGGGAAGACAAGAAGAACCAGATCCAGTAATTTTGGATTCATCTTTCTTGGCAACAAGTGATAGGACAGAGCTCTCTCTATCTAGGGAGTGTTAAGTTTTGTAAAACTGTAATGGTTTTCAGGAAATATAATTAGCTTGATTGAGCCAAATGACAATGATGCATGATAGTTTTTCACGTTCTGACAAAAAATATGGGATAGCTAAGAATTGTCCAATTGGAGTTTTGTGTGTATATATATTAAATGTACATCATTGATCTTATGGTGTCAGATATGACGTCAGAGTTTATGGCACTAGTAGATAGAAATATTTTTGACATGTAAAAATCCAATTCAGAAGCTGAAAATTATTTTAATATCTTGAGAAATGCTAAGTGTTCAAAAAAATGAGGAAAATATTGGAAAATTTGAAATGAATAAAGATATTAAATTATAATAATGATTTTGAGAGGTTACAGTGTTTAAGCAGTGGAACCCCTATGATGAATAGAGGCACAATCATATCATATCCCTGATGATAAGGACATTTAATAACAGAATCTATTTACTAGCTAACATGTTAGAGAACATATAGAACCCTAATGTCTCTCAATTGGGAAGGTAGTGTAGCAGCAGTAGATCCATTGTGGTGTTGTTATGTCCAGTTGCACATAACTCTATCATGCTATGGGAAGAGATGAACTGAATACCGTTTCTTTTGCCTTGATTGCCTGAAAAAAAAAATGTTGAAAAACAAGAATAAGCATCACCTTTGACTGTCCAAATAAAATGTGACAGATCAGCAGTAAATAGTAATGTTTATATTGTGATACTTTCATAGTATATTTTACCTCTTTCTCCCAGTTTATCCGCAGTGTGATCCACAGGAGCAGCACAAGCTTGGTGAGGCTGCCACAAACGATTCCAAGCCACAGACCCTAGCAAATAAAAGGAACAACACCTTTTTCAGTCTTAGGGAGGTATATATATATTTGCTCACATGCTGATTTCGCTGAGATTTTGTCAAAATTGATTGGGAGGTTCCCAAGAATGTACCATTCCATTCTGATGGAGGACAAATGCAAGCAACACGGCCATGGGAATGCCGGCCAAGTAGTACGCACTGAGATTAACACGTGCACCAATCTTCTGCTCACCACATCCAGTCACCACTCCTGAATAATTTTACAGAATCATCAATCATGCAACACCGTTCCACTTCATTTAGTTTATGAACTGCTTATATGAATTGAAGAGTGAATTATTCAGTTGTAAAAATGAGGCTAACCTGATAGAGAGCTATGTAGCCCATCTGTGAAAAACGATATCGCAAGAACTGGTATCATTCTAGCAATGTATGTGACAACTTCAGGTTCATTGCTGTACATGTAACCCCAGAAATTGCGTAGCAGAATCATGGTACAGCCGAGCAGCAAGCCTGTAGACAAAGCGATACACATGACCACTCGAGTTGCCAGCTTTGCTGCTTGGGGCTCACCGGCACCAAGTTCATTTGAAACACGTGTGCTGCAGAGGGGAATAAAAGGGAAATATGAATACACCAATAATATACAAGAATGAAGCACATATATATAGGAAAATATATCTCTGTTCATATAACCTCGTACCTTATGGCTGTACAAAGACCAAATGGTACCATGAACAGCAAAGCACCAGTGTTTAGACTGCAGAATTCGACAAGCTAATCAGAGACGTGAAGAAGGTAAAGAAAGTTTCTTGGAGAATTGACATTTAATTACCATATTGACAGTACTGAGGTTTCAAGCTTAGGATTGGGCAGCAGACCAGAGAGAAGCACAAGCAGTTCAAAGGACCACCACTCCAAGCTGCATGCGCAAAGGGAACAGATCAATCAATATACATAGGCAACAAACATGGAATGGAAGACTGAATTTCTGAAGAAAACAAAGATGTAGGAGCTAGTTGTCTCACCAGACCATCATCGCCGACGGGATGGCGAGCTTGGTGAACCGGAGAAGGTCTCTGAAAGCCTCCGTGGAGAATCCAGTCCATGTCCTCTTGCACGCGCTCGAGAACCTCACGTAGAGAGCTAGCATGGCCAGGTTGAAGGAGTAGGAAATGGCACTGCTCAGCGCAGCGCCTTTGCTGCCCATGCCGGCCTTGAACACCAACGCCCAGCACACCAAGACGTGACCCAGCGCAGCGACACCGGAGCTGACCATGACCGGCACCACGATGCTCTGCGTCTGCAGGAACCGGATGTGGCACGCGAGCGGGACGTAGGGGACGAGGCCCAGTATGAGCCACCGGGAGTAGGCGCCGGCCTCCGCGGCGATGTCACGATCCTGGCCGATGAACACGAGGATCTGGCCGGCGTTGGCCCAGACCACGGCGATCGGGACGCAGGCGAGCGCGAGCACCAGCATGGCGCGCTGCTTGTAGACACCCAGGAGGGCGTACTGCCTGGCCCCGAAGGCCTGCCCGCACAGCGTGTCCAGCGCGCTCGCCATGCCGGCGAGCAGGCTGAAGCCGGTGACGTTGGCGAGCGAGTTGGCCAGGGAGGCGCCGGCGAGGGGCAGCTCACCGAGATGGCCCACGAACATGACGGACACGAGCTGGACCACGTTCTGCAGGATGCAGCTGGCCACCAGCGGCCCCGCCAGGCTCAGCAGCCGCTTAGCCTCGGCCGCGGTCGTGTGCTCGGGCCGCGGCACGAGCAGGGGCTCCTCTGTAGCTGCCTTGTTCTCCATGATGATCAGGTTTCACAAGCGTGTGATCCGAACTCCGAGGGGATATGAGGAGCAGAGTCAGAGAAGCAAGGATGACCGGAGGGAAGGATTTTATACATGAAGCTGAGCAGCAGATTCAAGATATTCGGAAATCGGAAGCTACCACGCAGCCAATAGCCACAGCTTGGACAGTTGGATACTTGGATTCAACTACTTCCTCGGTTCCAGGAGACTGCTAATTTTAAAGTTTAAAATTGTCAAAGAATACAACTACTTTTTGAGCTACATCATTTTATGTGTTAATCAAATTTATATAATAAGTATTGATATTTTATATAATATTAGTAAATTCGTCGTGGAACATATATATATATATATATATATATATATATATATATATATAAGGGGTTTGGATCCCTGTTGTGTTTCATAAAAACAAAAGATACCGCCTACGTGTGCATACAGTGGGACAAACAAATAAAGAGCAAGTTAGACCTTTTTATTATTAAATTATGCATGGAGGGAGTGTTTAGTTATGCAGGTGCCGTGGCTGCCAAGAAGCGGTCAAAGTCCAGCTTATGTAATAGGCACATGCTGATGACAGGTAATAAATAAACAAATTAAAACCCCAAACAAACACAAGGGCTGTTGAATAAGCTCTCACATGAAGCTCAGTGCAATATGGTACTCCATTTTTGGTACGTTACAAGGGTATATGCGGAACGCATACTATGGCCCTGTTCGGCTTATTGAAACTTGGCTGAAATTGGTTGAAAAAACACTGTTCTTGCTGAAATGTTGTGAGAGAAAAACACTGTTCCGGCTGAAAAAAGAAGTCAACAAGTCGGATATGGAGTAAACCGAACGGGGCCATATGTGGATAAGAGTTTGTTGGGTGCACTTTGGTCCTCTCCTTCCTTCAATATAATTTTTTTTCACACATGAGAAGACACTGTATGAAGTTCTTTATCAAGAGATAGTGTCATAGTGTGTGATGCATGATGCTATGTATTGGAAATGAATCCGTATTAACCTTGTGCGCACAACATATTAATGCACTACATAGAAAAAGTTTACCTTTTTTTGACAATCTGCATTTTTTGTGACAACTGACAAGTGAGAACCTCAATCGTGTTAATTAATAGAGAGGCTCTGTATAAGGAAAAAACTTGAATTAAACTGGGGTAAACTGTGCCACTTGTACTCCTTGGCAGCCAGTAGCCACCGTAGGCCGGCATATAAATAGACAAAACAAAAAGACTGCATCAACGGGATAATTAAACGCAACGATACAAAACCAGTATGCTGCGACTGTGAGGCCCCTTTCCTGTCGTCTTCCCGAACCCATCGACGTCACGATCCTCCACTCAGAACCATGGATCTGGTACAACTTTTATATGGATACTAGCAGCCTTAAACGATCGTATATTATAAGCTAGAATAATATTTTTCTTTCACACCAAACCAGCCAGCGATAATAATTCACGATCGTTTTAGCCGAAACGAACAGGCTGTAAATAGATGCGGCTACATAGCCGTTGTCCCATTGGAAATTTGGGTTCCGAACTTACAGTCCAAGGAACAAAGACACTGTTTTAGATTCATTCGTTCAAAATTGCTTACTGGCTTCTGACCAAATTAGACCTTAAGGTTCATATTAGGGCTTGTTTAGATCCAGGACGTAAAGTTTTGGGTGTCACATCGAATGTTATTTGGGGTGTCGCATGAGGTGTTCGGATGCTAATAAAAAAACAAATTACAGAATCCGTCAGTAAACCACGAGACGAATTTATTAAGCCTAATTAATCCGTCGTTAGCACATGTGTTACTATAGCACTTTATTGTCAAATCATAAACTAATTAGACTTAAAAGATTCGCCTCACAAAATAGTCGTAATATGTGTAATTAGTTATTTTTTTAATCTATATTTAATACTCCATACATATATCAAATATTCGATGAGACAGGACGTAAAGTTTTGACGTTAAGTAATTCTGCGATAGGAGTACAAAATAATACTAGCTAACAAACTTGGCAGCCACGTTTTGGCCGGCATAAACAAAACAAAGAAACGAAACACTGAATGTTTCGTTCCTGCGTCACATTCACATGCAGTGAATCCTTGCAAACGCATGATGCATTCCATCACTCCTAAATCCTAACATAAGTAGCTAGGCAATACGCACCCCGATGCATCCATCACCTTGCAAGAAATCCAAAAGACTCGTGGCATGGAAGAGCCAATAAGCGTGGAGGCGGCGGAGCCACTGCTCGTGCCACTGCCACGCGGCCCCACCGATACCGACAGTGGCTCGGCCTCGGCGGCGGCAACGGCGGCAACCGAGTCGAAGCGACTGCTGCGTCTGGCGGGGCCGCTGGTGGCCAGCTTCATCCTGCGGAACTCCGTCCAGATGGTGTCCGTCATGTTCGTGGGCCACCTCGGGGAGCTCCCCCTCGCCGGCGCTTCCCTGGCAGCGTCGCTCGCCAACGTCACCGGCTTCAGCCTTCTCGTCGGCATGGCGGGCGCCCTGGACACGCTGTGCGGGCAGGCGTTCGGGGTGAGGCAGTACGGCCTCCTGGGTGTCTACAAGCAGCGCGCCATGCTGGTGCTCGCGCTCGCCTGCGTCCCCATCGCCGTGGTCTGGGCCAACGCCGGCCAGATCCTCCTCGCCGTCGGCCAGGACCCGGACGTCGCCGCGGAGGCCGGCGCGTACGCGCGGTGGCTGATCCCGTCGCTCGCCGCGTTCGTGCCGCTCACCTGCCACACCAGGTTCCTGCAGGCGCAGAGCGTCGTCGTGCCCGTCATGGCCAGCTCCGCCGTCACGGCGCTCGCCCATGTCCCGGTGTGCTACGCGCTCGTGTACAGGGTGGGCATGGGGAGCAAGGGCGCCGCGCTCAGCGCCGCCGTCTCCTACGGCGTCAACTTGACCCTGCTTGCTGTCTACGTCAGGCTGTCCAGCGCTTGCAAGGCGACGTGGACAGGGTTCTCCACCGAGGCCTTGTCTCTCTCTGGCCTCCGGGAATTCGCAAAGCTCGCTGTCCCGTCGGCGATGATGGTTTGGTAGGCAACTCTTCTTTAATTTATTTGTCATTTGTCAGAGGAAGATTAGAATGCCTATTGTTAACTACTGACGGCTGCTTGCTTAGTAGTCTGACGACTGGTGATGCGTGCCTTCATTCTTTTCTTCAGCTTGGAGTGGTGGTCGTTTGAACTGCTCGTTCTGCTCTCTGGGGTTTTGCCAAATCCTAAACTTGAGACTTCCGTCTTGTCAATTTGGTAATGACAATAATTGGACAGAGATAGTATCTGTTACTCTACTTTTCAAGATATATATTGCTTAACTGAGTGGACACTGCTGATTTCGTAGCATCAACACCGCTAGTCTGATGTACATGGTACCGCTTGGCCTTGGCACTTCTACAAGGTCTTCTGTTTGCGTCCTCTCTCTCTAGTCTCTAATAAAACGTTCGCATTTGCTGTACTGTAGTTTATCATCTTTTCATTTGCTAACTGATTTGCTATATATACTTGTTTTCTCCTCTCTATCTAGCACACGCGTCTCCAATGAACTGGGTGCAGGGCAGCCTGGAGCAGCGAGGCTGGCAGCGCGAGTTGTGGTGTGTATGACCTTGTCTCAAGGGGTGGTGCTGGCAACCATCATGATTCTCCTGCGCAACATTTGGGGATACGCGTACAGTAGCGAGGAGGAGGTGGTTACATACATTGCGAGAATGCTTCCCATCCTTGCTCTTTCCTTCTTGGTCGATGGCCTTAACGGTTCTCTTTCAGGTAATGCTCTTGTCTGAAATCGAATTCAATGCTTGATATCTTTGGAGACGCGGTGAAAAGAAAACAAAAATTATCATTTAGGACACAATTTGGTGAAATCCCAAAAACCACACATATCAAAAATTACTACATCATTCAGTTTAAACTAGTGTTTTCCTAAACTTTACATGGCAGTTTAGCCATTGTTCAAGCTAAATGGTAATTTAGATACAGATGTAGAAGTTACTTTAGAGCATGTTTCATAATTACATCAGGTATAGACTATTTAGATATAAATTTAGGGGTTACATTATGTTATACTTTTATAATGATATATGTGGATACTTTAGATGTAGATTTTAGGGGTTATATAGGTTGTCTTAAAAATGGGTTGGCAAGTTGTAGATGCATATTTTAGTGGTTATTTTATATTATTGTTATAATAAAAAAATGTAGATTATTTTTAGAAAGCAAGATAGATTTAGTGACTCTTATTGATGATTAGAGCCTATAGAATTTGTGACGAGAGTTTTTTTTTATTTTTGTAAGATTCTATGGTTTATTCTTTTTTCTAGCATGTCTTGGAAGGATTAACAAGAAGGCTTAGTAACACTAAGATCATTTAATCTGAACTTTAGAGGCATATATAATTCTATGAGTTTTTTGGTAAATTTCCAGGGGTAATCACAGGATGTGGCAAACAGAAAATTGGTGCTCGCGTTAACCTCGGCGCGTTTTACCTAGTTGGCATTCCAACAGGGGTGTTGCTTGCGTTTGTGTTCCATCTAAATGGAATGGTACAATGCCTTTCTCCTCCGCCCTATCAATTGTTGTAACGGCCGCTCTCACTTACTCATGTGAGAGATGGTTGTCTTACTCTAAAGCCTCCCCTAGCTAGTCCCGGTCTGAACTGTTGTGTTTCTTCACAGGGTCTTTGGCTTGGCATTGTGTGTGGAAGCATCATCAAGCTAGCGTTGCTCCTGTGGATTACACTGCACACAGATTGGGGGAGTGAAGTAAGTAAAAATTCAGCCACAAGGCTTTTACTATGTATTACCGTGCAGCTTAGTTGATGTGCTCTCATGACTCATGGTCCCAAATTTAATTAGGCTATGAAGGCCAACGACAGGGTCCTCAGTTCGTCAGTGCAAACAAAGTGATGAAATCTGCTACCTTCCTCGCATGAATATATGTCATTTGTCACAGCTATTTAAGTGTTAGGATCTGTTCGGTGAAAAGATCAAGATACGTAAGAGGGAGATGAATTGAGCTAATTTTAAATTTTTTTGCAATAATTAAACCCTATGGTTAGCCCAATTAACCCATTGTGCCTAGAAAGTGTTTCTATTCATCTACCGCATAAAAGTTTAGCGACCTATGTTCCAATCCTACTCTAGCATGTCAATTCTATGAATGTAAACGACAAGAATTGAATTGCTCAAAGTAAATGCTCGATGTAAAGAGAGAAGGAGGAACGCGTCGATGTTTTGCCGAGGTATCAGAGAGTCACAACTCCCCATTAGTCCTCGTTGGAGCACCCGCGCGAGGGTGTAGCTCCCCCTTGATCCGCGCAAGGATCAAAGTACTCTCTATGGGTTGATTCTTCGACACTCCGTCGCGGTGAATCACCCACGACCGCTCACAATTTGAGTTGGGTCATCCACAAGCTCCGTCGGATGATCACTAAGCTTCCAATCACCACCAAGCCGTCTAGGTAATGGCGATCACCAAGAGTAACAGGCACGAACTCTCACTTGACCACGACAAGCCTAATGAGAAGGGTGGATGCACACTTTGCTAGTTTTGATCTCACTAATGAGGGCTCTCTTTGGTATTCTCAAATCTTAATCACCTCACTAGGACCTTGCTCTTCTTGACACTTTCAAAGGTGTTTCTCAGCTGTTGGAATGAGTAAAAGTACCCCCTCATATGAATGGAGGAAGTATTTATAACCTTGGGTGAAAAACAAACCGTTATGTGCCTCTGCGGGGTGACCGGACGCTCCGGTCAGTTCACCCCGACCTCCAGTGATAATGTTGTGACCGGACGCTGGGCTGTGTCCAGTCAGCACTGACCGGACGTGTCCGGTCGTGATTTTCCCTCTCTAAAACCTTACTGGAGTCGACCGGACGCTGGGACCCTGCGTTCGGTCACTCACCTCTTCAGCGTCCGGTCGCACCAGACGGAATCACCTTGGTCAAATGAACTGACCGGACTCTGCGCCAGCGTCCGGTCACACCAGAACCAGCATCCGGTCAGTATTTGACTCTCCATTCACTTCCAACTCTCGATCATACGTGAATGAAGTTTGCTCCAATAGATCTAAGGGCTTTTTAGGAGCTACCTAGCGCTAGTTTTAGCAAGTACGCACCACACCTAACCCATTAGACACACCTAGGTCAAGCTACCCGACCATACCCCCCTTAATAGTACGGCCAAAGAAAAAACAAAGTCCTAAACTACTCTAAGTGTCTTTTCAACACCAAACGACACTTAGAACTAGTTCATCCTTAACCTTGTCGTCCATCCTTTAAAAACCGAAACGATTTTCATCGTAGGGGCATGACCACCATGATAGCCCAATCGATCTTCATTACCGTGACCTAACTTAATTGCCTCTACAAAACACATGTTAGTCACAATAATCACGTATTGTCATTAATCACTGAAACCCAACTAGGGGCCTAGATGCTTTCAATCTCCCCTTTTTGGTGATTGATGACAATACCCCCTCGAGTATGTGAAAGAGATGAGGTTTTTAACATACTTGGATCATATAAGCTTTTGGCAATAAGAACAAAAGAGTTAGGCAAACTTATATGACTCAAGCCAACATGATGTATTCAAAATATATGAAATAAGCATGAGTACAATAAATAAAGCTCATTTGCATCGGAGTAGAACGCGGAAGCAAAAGCAAATGAGCATAGCACAAGTGATATGACATATAAATAATTCAAAGTAGAGAGCACACATGTCACATATAACGATCACATAGATATCACTATCACATAGATATAGTTCAATGCATAATAGTAAACATGAATGCATGAATGCATAATGTATCACACATAAAACTCCAAATGTAATAGATAAGCTAATAAAGCAAATAGATAAACTCCCTCTAAATATGTCGCTCCCCCTAAGGCTAACATACTCGAACCCTCTCCCCCTTTGGCGTCAAACACCAAAACCTAAGGGTCGGTCGGTGGGGCTGCAGCGAACGAGTCAGGTGCTGAGGTGCGAGGAGCGAGCTAAAACTATGTGCCATCATCATCTGACCCTGAGCACTGACCTGTATGACCCTCTATCACTGGAAGTGATGCTAAAGCTGTCTAGGTCAGATCAGGAACTGGTGCGGCCTGTGACTCTGTATGTATGACTGTAGCAGGCAGCTCTGATGATGCAACAGAGGAAGGGAGCATATCTGTCGCGCCTGTCACTGGAGCAATGGTGGTAGGTATAGGGGCAAGTAGATCTGGTGGTGTAGGGTGCCCTGTCAACTCACTAAATGAAGCACCAAGGCTCCTAGAAACTGAGGAATCTGGCACAAGTAGCGAGGAAGTCTGAGCCGGTGTGAAGCCCATCTGAAGAGGTGTGAATAGCGGGCCTGGCACTGGCAAGGCAAACCACTAGGACACCTGCTCTGTAGGTGAAGCAAACTATGTTGGTGGCTATCCCTGACTCTGAAGCCCACTAGGCTGTAATGCTGGAGTCATAGAAGTGGTGGCAGGCTGACCAAGCTGGGGCGAAGGCTATGGCGGTGGAGCCCCAATAGCTGTCACAACATGTCAGATAAACCCAAGTAGTTCTTTGCTACATGAGAAATCTCTTTGCTAATGCATGGCTCGCCATCTTGCTCTTTGCTACATAGCTATTCTTTGTCATTTGGAACTCGTTACTCGGTCTAAAACTGTGCGAAAGTAGCGGCGGTCTCCTGTGCCTGGCAAGCCTGATCCTACCTCATTCGCTCAAGAATAGCAAGTAGAGCGGGGTCTGTCTGCGGTGCAGGTGGAGCTGAACTGGAGCTACCGGCCTCATGGTCATGTCGACATGGAAGCATCTGAGGAATGTCCTGGTAGTCCTTATCTGAGTTGTCACTGGGGTCGCTCTCGACCATCCCCTCCTGCTATGCATCTAACTGCTCCTCCACAGTTGCTGCTATGCCCCTGATAGTATCATCCTACTAGACTACAGTCTCTGGCACCTCTGGACGACGGCGCGGTTGGCTAGGTGCACTCGGTGTACTATGGCGGATCATTTGAGTTAGGTTGTATGCAGGGAACTCTATAGTAGCACCACTGTACTCTGCTAGCATCTCAGGCGGTCTCACTATAACTGTTATGTGAATAAGAAATGTGATCCAGTGAGCATAGGACAACTGACGGTGACATCTAAACCCCTCAGCAATAGTATAGTCCATCTCTGATAGAAGGAGATCCTAAATATCAAACAAAGTTTGCTACATCAGAGAGTTTAGAAGCCACAACTGTATGCGAGTCAAGCCCTCGCGATACCCCATCCTCGGAATCAGGGTCCTCCTCATAATAGCATCCAGCACTCTAGCTGTAGGAGTGAGATCACTGGGAGTCCTGCTCGACCCCTCGCCAAAAGGCTCTTTGAAGCAGTGGTGGACTAGATCTGTAGGGGGTACCATACCGCCATGAGGGCATCTGGGAGGCGCTATCTGTCCATAGCAAACCTCATGTTGCCTGATGGGCTGCTCCTGAAGCCTGAGAATCTCCCTGACCCTAAAGCTCATCAGCCTATAATCTCTGCCTCTGAAAGCAAAGTGAATGAATCTGTGCTGCGGGTCAATCCAAAGTGTAGCATAGAACTCCCAGACCCAAGATGGAACATATAAGCCTGTCTGTCCGAGTAAATCTGTTAGCCCTGGTAGATATGCTAGGTAGGGGCAAATATGCTCTCCAGCTGCTGCTACTATGGACTCAATGTTGCACACCCTCTGTGACCTAAATAGTGCCCCACTGTTAAGATATGCATTATAGAAGTCTTCCTGCAGTGGTGTGTAGAAGCCCTCTGATGCACGCTCATCCCGCCTCGGCGGAAACCACTGATCAAAGTCCATAAATCTGAGCTGCTGCACCTGCTTGGCCGTGGTGGCCCTCAAATCTAGATGAGTCACTAGTGGCGGACCCTATGGTCTAGGAGGTGGACGAGAACCCCTCCGCTGTGTCTCTGGCCTCGGTGTGACTAGAGCACGGGTACGACTAGAGCGGCATAACTATGGCTGAGGTGCCTACTCTATCTCCTCGGCCTGCTCTCCCTCTTGAGTCTGCTCTACTAGCTATCGCTGCTGCTGTGACTCCCCCTGAGGCTGACTCTCATCAATAGCAACACGCCGTCCTCCAACCATGAGAGTCCTAGCTGGACCACCATGACGGCGCTCAACCTGCTCAAGTGCAGCCCTTGCTGCTGGTGAAAGCTGATCTGCGATCTAGACTCCATTCCTAGCACCTCCTGCCTCTGCATGCTCTGTGGCTGCTGCAACTGCGGCTGCTCTAGCTGTATCTGCATCTGGATACTTCTGCTTCTTTGTTGCAAGTTTCTTCGTCGCCTTGCCTTTTGGATCTGTAGGCAAGCGAGGCGGACGCCTTCGATCCTCATCACCTGGACCACCTCCGGCATTCTTGACATGAGCCATCTGATGGAGCTAAAAAGAACAACTGCCGCTAACAAAGATCAACTGCCAACTGTCACTTCCATGGTTTGGCCTCGATCCGTACTCGCGAGCTTGGCCCCGAGTTGACTGACAACTACAAATAGGACCACAACGGCACCGACTCGCTGCATGATAGAATAGATAGGATATACAAATAAATACAATATATATAAAGATACAAAATACTAGGAAGGAAGCAATTAGGAATGAAATTGGAAACGAGGGCTTGCTACCTGACGAACCGGCGAAACGACAAGAATAGGAACGGATCGGGGAACCACCAGGTCGGCTAGGGTTTGCAGTGGCGTGGATTGGCGGTGCACTATGGTGAAGGGGCGCGGTGAGTAGTGGCTAGGGCACTAGGAGCGTTAGGGCAGAGCACGTGCATGGCGGCGCGGACTGGAGGTGGCGCCGGGAGCAGTGGCGTGGGCGAGCGCCGTGGCGGTGCTAGGGCAAGGCACGGGCGAGCTACGGTGG